TAGACACCAGTGCAGTGAGAGGTGCAGGCCCAGCAGTAGACACCAGTGCAGCGAGAGATGCAGGCCCAGCAGTAGACACCAGTGCAGTGAGAGGTGCAGGCCCAGCAGTAGACTCCAGTGCAGTGAGAGATGCAGGCCCAGCACTAGACACCAGTGCAGTGAGAGATGCAGGCCCAGCACTAGACACCAGTGCAGTGAGAGGTGCAGGCCCAGTGTGGCTCCCTGAAAACAGCTCAGTGGACTGAGAGCTCCAACACAGATCTTGTCAGCAAAATCTGCCAAAATGGCGCTGTGTGCTCAGTCTTTTAATGGCTACCCTTATGTCTTTGTTTCTTAATGTATAGATGACAGGATTTAGGGCTGGGGTGATAGCAAAGTCAGCAATAAATAGGTATTTGTCGATGGATGATGTTGGAAAGGGCCATGCATAGAGAAATATGCATGGGGTGAAGAAGAGAACGACCACGGTGATGTGAGCTGAGAGAGTCACCAGGGCCTTGGACAGGTCCCCTGCAGACCGTTTCCTCACGGTGACCAAGATGAAGGCGTAGGACAGGAGCAGCAGGAAGAAGGTGCCCATGCTCATGAAGCCACTGTTGGCAGCGACCACAAACTCAAACTTGGCATTATCTGTGCAAGCAAGTTTTATAACCCGTGGGAAGTCACAGTAGAAGCTGTCTATCTTGTTGGGACCACAAAAGGGCAAGTTTACAACAAAGGAAAACTGAGACATGGCGTGGATCACTCCAGTCACCCAGCCAAGGACCACAAATGAAACACATATTTTAGGGCTCATAATGTTTAAGTAGTGAAGAGGCTTACAGATGGCTGTGTATCTGTCAAACGCCATGGCTATGAGCAGTACCATCTCCACTCCTCCCATGATGTGGATGAAGCATATCTGTGTCATACAGCTTTGGAAAGAAATTACTTTGTATTCTTTTAAAAGATCTGAGATCATCTTGGGAATTGTGGTGGAAGAAACCCACACATCATTCAAGGACAGGTTGGCCAGCAGGAAATACATAGGAGAGTGTAAGTGACAGTCAGCAATGACTAAAAACACAATGAAGAGATTTCCCAGAATAATTCCTGAGTAGAGCAGGGAGAACGTCAACATGAGGAAAACTCTAGTTTCCCAAGAATCAGAGAGACCCAGCAGCACAAAGTCAGAAACCACAGAGTCATTTGGTTGATCCATGACCGGGCAGATGAGCTGATTTCAGACAAAGTACAGAAAATGATGAAAAGTCACGATTAGTGTTACTGTTTTCCCCACTTACCATGCTACCTCGAGTTTATAATTGAGCGTTCAGTAATACTGAGTAGGCTGAAAAAATAAGTAAATGATAACTTCATATTGTAGAGAAAAGAATACCAAAAAAGAATGAGGAGAGTATGATGAAGAATGAAAATTATGTATATATTAGATGGAGGAAATTACTTTCTTTCATTTTGTTCCATGACATTTATTGTTTCTTTTCCCTTGCAAGGACTTATGAATATATTCTTGGAATTCTTTCCCAGATGCTTTCTGAATGTAATAGTCTCACATGAAAGAAAGCACTTTGTATGCTTATAGAGGAGCTTGCAATTTTTACTGTGCTGAATTTCCTTTTTTCATTGATAAAATGGAGATTTAAAAAGATTAAACTTTGTAACAATTTTTATCTGTTTTTCAAAACAAAAATAGGAAATTTTATTTTTGGCAAATACATATATATCTACTCTTCTCTCTTTGTACCCTTCCAAACTTTCTTTTTCTTTTTTTTTTTTTGGGTCCAGTTGTGGGGCCTGAACTCTGGGCCTGGGCGCTGTCCCTCAGCTCTTCAGCTCAAGGCTAGCGCTCTACCACTTGAGCCAAAGCACCACTTCCGGCTTTTTTCTTTTTTTTGCTTATGTGGTGCTGAGGAATTGAACCCAGGGCCTCTGGCATGCAAGGCAAGTGCTCTACCACTGAGCCACCTTCCCAGCCCTCCAAACTTTCTTAATCACTAGTATGTGTTGTTAGCCTTTCTAATTTTAATTTTTAGGTACTTTTCTTTTTACATGTAATTTATTTAACATAAGACCTTTAACTTTTTGTTGTATATGATTGCTATATATTATAGCACTAAACATGGGCATCCAACTATGTCTTTGGTGTGATGACTACATTTCCTTTGTGTGTGTGTGTGTGTGTGTGTGTGTGAGTGTGTGTGTGTGTGTGTGTGTGTGTGTGTGTGTGTGTGTGTATCCAGAGCCTGGCATATGATAATTATATTTTTAGTTTTTTTTAAGATTCTCTCTAATTGCTTTCTTAGTTTTAATTTAACTCCCACCCAAAGTATATGTGTCCATTTTCCTCATCTCTTGGCTAGCATTTGTAATTACTTGTTGTTGATAATAGATTTTTCTAATAGGGATGAAATGCTGTCTCAGAGTACTTTTATTATATTTCCCCGAAGGCCTGATAAGGTTGAGTATTTTTTACATATTTAGGGTCATTTGTATGTCTTCCTTTGGAAAGATCTATTCATCCCCTTTGCTGATTTTTCATTTGATGGCTTATTTCTGCAGGAGGCTAGGAATTTAAAGTGACTTATAGATACTGATCCATGTCAGATAGTTTTTACTCTGAGTAAAAAATATACTCTGAGTAAACACATATTTTCTTTTCTGTACAAATGCTTTACAGTTTCTACTCCAAGTAAAACATATTTTTTCTGTATAGATGCATTCTGGTTTGATGTAATATGATTTGTCCATGTTTGCTTTTTGGAGTTCTAGATAAAAAGAATCATTGTCTATTTAAATGTCCTGAAGTGTTTCCCTCTAAACATGCACACATTTTTTACATGTGTGTGCATTTAGGTTTGGGCTGTAGGTTTTGGTTGTTGGTTTTACCATGTAGGTTACTATGTTATTTAAGTTGAGATTCCTTGCAAGGCTTAGCCTCGTTGCACATAATTATCATAGTCTTTGAATGAATATCAGTATTAATGCATAAAAAGTAAAGCTCTTAGTAAATACAATTTTATAAAATATGTTAATAGACAACATTTATTTGTTATTAATTTTGGCAGTCATGGGGTTTTTAACTCAGGCCTTGTACTTGCTAGGTTGGTACTATATTACCTGAGACATACCTCTTGCCTTGCTTTTTTGTCAATTATTTGAAACTTACTGTCTCATTTATAGAGAACCTTTTCAGCCTAGGCTGGCTGTGAACTGCAGTCTTCCAGATTTCAGTCTACTAAGTACCTCAGATCACAGATGTGAGCCACCAGCACACATTCCATAGATGACATTTGTTATGTGCTTCCTCCATTTTTAATTAAAAAATTTTAACATTTATTTTATTTTTTTGGTTGGTCATGGGCTTGCACTCTGGGCCTGGGCATTGTCCCTGCTCTCTTCAGCTCAAAGCTAGTGCTCTACTGCTCAGGCTACAGCACTACTTCTTGTTTTCTAGTGGTTTATTGGAGATAAGAGTCTCATGGCCTTTCCTCCCTGGGCTGGCTTTGAACTGTGATCCTCAGATCTCAGCCTCTGGAGTAACTAGGATGACAGGTGTGAGCCACTGGCGCCCAGCTCCTCCATTTTTTAAATTACTAAAAATTCTGCATCTATTCCATATTCTTGAATTAGATGTACCTTGTAAGTAAATGGGCTATGTCTCTAATCTTTAAGGCTGAGTCTCTTAAGGATGTCCCGAAATGTGGGACACCATGACACACACTTACGGCTGGATTATGCCACTGTGCTTGCAAGCCTAGGTCCCTTCTGATATATGCTGGTGGCCGCTCAAGTCACCTGTAGTTAAATACCCTTCAATGTTTTGTGTTCTTTATCAATACCATATTTGAAAAAATTGACATTTCTGAGGACTGGCTTAGATTCAAGTGATAGATATCCTATGGAGCAAGCATGGGGCCCGGAGTTAAACCTCATTACTACCAAAAGAAAGACGAAACATATGAAACATTGGAATCGTGCAACCTCTTTAATTCCCCCTTTTTGTTAAATCCAAGCGTTTATCAGTAGTCATTTATTTTGGTTAATTCAACACACTTAACGGTTCAGTTGGATGCCATATTTATAGAAACATTGGATTCTGGATGCTTTATATAATAGTCTTTTGATCCTTATTGAAGTTATCTCTCCACAGGACTAATTCTGGCTAGTTTTTGTGTTGTGCCTTATTTTGGTATCCCCTTTACTCTTTGGCTTTATGTCTTTATAGTGCTATTCTCATTACCTGCCAACAGAAATTCCCTTTTTTTCCTGCTGTAGGCTAAAATCCCTTAATTTTTGAAGGTAGCACCATATGGCAAATCAGGATGAAATCAACTGTTTTTCACAGTTCCATTTTCCTGGGTCATTGATTCACTGAATACTGAACATGTGGCTCAGAACTGCTAAGTGAGAGGATGTCTTTCCTGGCAGGGTTTGCTAGCAAAGGGGGAAAAACTTCCTTTTTTTCCTTTTCTTGTATCAGTAGTGGGGCTTGAACTCAAGGCGTGGGCACTGTCCCTGAGCCTCTTCTGCTCAGGGCTAGCACTCTACCCCTTAGAGCCACCAGCTCTACTCCCAGTTTTCTGGTGGTTAATTGGAGATGAGTCTCAAGGCCTTTTCTGCCTGGACTGGTTGTGAACCTCGATCCTCAGATCTCAGCCTCCTGAGTAGCTAGGATTACAGGTGTGAGCCACTGACACCCAGCTCCAAACTGTCATGTTTTGAAAGTATTATCTTGATCTAGTTTTTCTTTTATTCACTGATACTATGTCTGAAGGTATTGCAACTACCGTGCTCTACAGTGCACATACTACACTGATGCAGTGAAACACTTGGAAGGGCTGAGCACTCATTAGGTGTGTTGCCACTTAATATAAGCTAGTATTCTTTCTCTTTTTAAATTTCTTATAATAATGTGAGAAAACAAAATATTAGTTTATTTTGTTCATTTTAAATCAAGCTTCCTGTTGATTCAGCTGAATACAGCATGATCATTTCTAAGCTTTCTCTTGCAAAACACCCCTCCTACATTGCAGACATGTCTAAACTTTTCACTCTTGTGTAGGGGTTAGCTTCTACTCGCAAGCCTTTAGTTTTTGATGTGACTCAGATCTTCCTATTTGTTTAATTCAATGTGCCAAGTTTTCCATTTTAAATTATACCTATTTATTGAATTACAGATCTGTAGTTTTACCCTTGGACTCCAGAATAGTATGTTAAATAGTATGTTAAAACCCCACCTCTAGCTTCAAGTAGCCAATAGGAACTGAACTCATAACCATGTAATCAGTCTAGTGCACTACTGATGATCTTTACAACCCTTACTTGTACGCAAGATGGATATTTTGTGGTACACTTGCTGTGTATCACATGTCTTTCCCAGGTACACAATGTTATGTTCAATTCTTTAATTATATATGAGGCATCAAAGAAATAACAATGACCTTAAGGTTACTGGTAGTAAGGATTAACAATGAGCTACAAAAAAAGACGAGATTAAATCAGAAGAAAATAACAAAACAAGAATTATTCAGAAAGCACCCAATTGTCTGACTGAAAAACTGACTCATTAAGTGAAAAATATTGCTTAATATGTAATTAAATACTTTAAAATATAAAATGATGCTATTTATGAATAAAATGTGCAATATAAGCATTAAGTTAAAAAATTAAACATTTCTGATATATTCCAACTTGAATAAAATGGGAGATTCACCACACTAATATAAAATATTAGAGCAAATGTTATACAAGTAAGAATTCTTTATGAGATAATTTAAGCAAAAACCCCAAGGCTCTTTAAATGTCCAGTGTATCTTTTGAGTTGTTAGCAGAAGATCCAAATGTCCATTTCAACAAATAGGAAAAGTTTGAAAAGGAAACATAAAGAAGAGTTGGGGGAGAGGAGGGAAAAGTCTGTGAATGATATCTAAATATAACACTATGGAGCAATATGATTGATCTAAACATTTTAGTAGTTAAATGTTAGAATCCAAATTATGAAAATCTTCATATATCTTATGAAAAATAGTTCTAGATGTTTAGATATCTTAAATGTAAGTTATAAAACTTGTATAGGGTTGGTAGGAGTTAATACTTAAAATGAGGTTAGAAGTGTTTTCTAAGTCCAGAAATTCAGAAAGTAGATTCCATTTTACATGATGGCCTGAGCATCATGCTTAACCGCGCAGCTACTGTGGCACT